AACTTCATAAATTTGAACATGCACTATGTATTCAGAACCAGATGCAGAACACTGCATGTGACACAGTGACATATACAACAGAACTACATGACCCAGTCCCAGACTCCAGGGAGTTTACTTGGGTATTCTTGGGAGGATAAGATACTTCCAAGAAACAATCTGAGAAGAGCCAAGATGAAAAAGCCATAGTCTCTGGTGGGCTGAACAGAGACTCAAGTGCCTAAATGAATGATACTGTCAATAAATTTCAGGGAAAGAAGGATTAGAGATGGCTGCAATTTTTAGGAAAGACTTCAAGGGTGCATGTGGGCCTAGATCTATTCCTGGAATTTTAAGATGGGACAGGTGGTACTAAATTGATGTGGCAATTCAGGTCCTTAGAGGATCAGGAAGAACTCCATAGACGCTTATAGAAGTTCAACATTGGGTTGAGGGAGGGAACTCTTAGGAGAGCTAAGAATTAGGGGAGAGAAGGGCAGAGATGGAAAGTAGACTTGCGCAAACAGCCTGTTTGGTTTGGACAGTGCGAGGTGGTTTCCAAACAAACATCCCTCCCCTTTCTCCATCCCGTGCCTTCTTCAGTTTCCAGGCCCTGACGTCACGACGCGGTGCAGCTGCAGTTATGTGTCTTTTCCTTTCCGCTTGACCCCCCAGCTAAAGTACCACTTTCTTGGCACTCAAAATGGAGTGCGCTGCCAGTGGAGCAGAGGAAAGACTGATCTTGGACTGTTGGCCTTGAGGAAAGGCTGAGGGCTATTAGATGGCCTTCGCTGGGGCATTTACGAGAAATGGTGTGGGTGGTTTTTCTGAGAGGGTCGAACTTGGGATGCCTGAGGAACCCTTCTCTGGACTCTGGTAGACCTCCATCCTTCCTAAATCAGTAGAACTGTGACCTCTTTAGATGGAGTCCCCATGCTCATTCTCTTCCAGGAAAACAGAGATGACATTGTCTTGGGAGATAATATCATTGACCTGGTGAGATCTGAGGGTTCCATGGAAGAAAAGATGCTGGATGGGGCAATGGCCCATGTCAGGCAATTACAGGAAAACACAAAGTTAACAGGAGAGAATAGATTTTTTTTAACCCTCTAGGGAGAACCACTTCCTTGAAGGATGATAGAAATCCATGGTAACTTTTATTTTATATTTTATTTTATTTTTGAGTCAGAGTCTCACTCTGTTGCCCAGGCTCACAGTCACTGCAACCTCAACCTGCTGGGCTCAGGCGATCCTTCTGCCTCAGCCTTCCAAGTAGCTGGAACCACAGGTGTGTGCCACCACACCTGGCTAATTTTTTTTATTTACTTTTTGTTTTTGTTTTGTTTTGTTATTTACTTTTTGTTTACATGTTCTTGCCAAGTTGTCCAGCCTGGTCCCGAACCCTGGGGCTCAGGCAGTCCTCTTGCTTCTGCCTCTCAAAGTGCTGGGAACACAGGTGTGAGCCACCGCACCCATCCATAACTTTATTATTTAAATTATTATCAGGAAGAATTATGAGATGGTCTTAGCCTTCTCTAGGTGGAGGGATGGACATGACCTAGTGAGAGTTTCATTAAGATGACTATCTCAGGGGTCTTGGAAGTGTCATCTTGTGCCTAGAGCTCTGGCACATTTCTGTAAACTAATTCACCCATGCCCATCTTTTCCTAAGACAGATGAAAGGAAGCGGGGCAGACTCATCAAGCGAAGACTACAAGTTGATTGAAAACACAATTTTCTTTCATTATGCTGTCACCATCTGTTTTATTCTTGGGCAGTCAGGGGTTGCCGTGGCTGGGGTCCACTTCAGTTGTTTTGGTCTGACTCTGATAGCACACCAGGGAGAGATGACTTACTTCAGTGACCCAGTCAAATCACAGAGGCAGTTTTGCTGCTTTCCAGAAAAGTAACTGAATGATCCAGGAGGATTGGGTTGGTTGCCTTTCCTTGTGAAATTTTGACAGAAGAGAAGACAGAGGTAGTTGACTTATTCTGTGATCTTGTGATAGGCTGTATAGCATAGTGGTTAAGAGCAAGGGCTTTAGGTAGATTTGCTTCATATCTTGTGTTCCTTGTTTAACAACTGAATAACCTAGGCCAAGTTTCTTAGCTTCTCCAAGCCTCAATTTCTTCATCAGTAAAATGGGGATAATAATTCAAATCTAAGAGTTACTTTTAAGAACTTGGTGAGATAATATATGCATAGCACACGACGATCAATTAGTAAATGACAGCCAATAGTAATAATTATTACTTATACTTAAGTTTTGGATATTTGGTCAGCCTTTTGGCAAATACATTCATATTTTTTGTCTACTTTTTCTTTTATTTCCTATACTTTTGACATCAAATGACTTATTTTTTATTTTTATTTTCATGAGAAAGTAGGATTTATTGAGAGGACAGAGAAGCTCCCACACTGGGAGGGGACCTGAAGGGGTTGCCTTTTTTTTTTTTGGAGTTGGAGTCTCACTCTGTTGCCCAGGCTGGAGTACAGTGGCATGCTCATAGCCACAGAAGCCTCGATCCACTGGGCTCAGGAGAACCTTTTGTCTCAGCCTTCCAAGTAGCTGGAACTACGGGCATGCTCCATCATGCCCGGCACATTATAATATTCATTATTTAAATCAAACAAATAAACATCAAAATGGAAATATCAGTAGGGTAGATGCCCTTGAACTCCCGCATGTTAGTCACAGCAGGTAATAACTTCTGACCACTGGGCAACACACTAAGACCATCTACCTGACTTCCTACCCCATAACTAGGAAAGCACAGTACGATTTTTTTTTTTAAGTCAGGATCTCACTGTTGCCCAGGCTACATGGTGGCATGATCACAGCAGTGCTGATTTCCTGGGCTCAGGTTGTTCTGCCTCAGCCTCCTGAGTTGCTGAGTCTACAAATGTGTGCCACCATGCCTGGCTTAGTTTTTGATTTTTGTAGAGATGAGATCTCGCTATGTTGTCCAGGCTGGTCTTAAACTCCTGGTCTCCAGCAATCCTCCCGTCTCATCCTCCAAAAGTGCTAGGATTACAGGCATGATCCACTGTGCCTGGCCTATAGTACCCTTTGTCTTACTGGTGGCTAACACAGAAGGTCCAAATTGGAAACTATAATATATGCACTCAAAGAATATTTACTGATCTCTTGCTGCATGTTAGTCTCTTTTGTAGGAGCTAGGGACTCAGCAGTGAACAAGCAACGTCCTTGACCCTATGGAACATCTGTAGAGATACCTGCATATGAAAAATTAATTAACAAGGTCATTTCCAATGGTGAGGAGGGCTACAGAGGCATCTTTTTCTCTAGACTGATGTGCTGGAGTCTTAGTTCCTGATAATGTCAAATGTGGCTTTCAAGGCCACCAAGGATGATTCTCTTGTGCCTAACTATGCACATATAAGACTCCAGGGCCAAGCAGCTGGCCAAAACTCCTGGATCCTCTGAGGTACAGAGTGCCACTGAATGTGGGAGGGCATTGAAAAATTCTATTTTCCTCCTCCTGGGATCATGTTAACAGCACTTATATCTCAAAGGGCTCCTTTTGCAATAAAACTCAGATGTTTCAGCCCAACTCAGTACTTCCTTGCCTCTCCCACTTGGGCAGGACTTCGTGCTGTTTGAAGCTTAAAAAATTTGTAGAGCTGGGCTCAGTGGCTCAGCCTGTAATCCCAGTGCTTTGGAAGGCCGAGGTAAGTGGATTGCCTGAGCCCACGGGTTCGAGACTGCCTGGGCAACTTGGCGAGACCTCATCTCTACAATAAAAAAAAAAAAAAATCAGCCGGGAACGGTAGCGAGTGCCTGTAATTCTGGCTACTTGGAAGGCTGAGGCAGAACGATCGCTGGAGCCCAATGGGTCTCCAACTCAAAAAAAAAAAAAAATTTTGTAGAGCCCTTGGGATCACATGTTTATTAGTCAAACAGAAATATGTTCCTTCTTTTTTCTTCTATGTAGAAATGTATCTCTGGAAACATATGCCAACCAATGCCAAATGCCTGGGAGTCAGGAACAGCGCTACCTACCAAGCCTTTAAAGTTTGATTCACTGCCATCTAAAGTGCAAATTAGGAAGCCAACTCTCCTGAACTTTGGGTCTGTGACACAAGAAGCTGAGTGGACCCCTGAATTAGAAGTCAGGGAAGCAGCCAGGCTCGGTGGCTCAGCCTGTAATCCCACGCCTTTGGGAGGCTGAGGTGAGTGGATTGCCTGAGCCCGTGGGTTTGTGACCCGCCTGGGCAGGCAAGACCTCATCTCTACAATAAATCAAAAAATGAGCCGGGCGTGGTAACGCGCGCCTGTAATTCTGGCGACTCAGAAGGCTGAGGCGGAAGGATCGCTGGAGCCCAGCAGGTCAAGGCTGCGGTGGCCGGGAGCGGCCACTGCACTCCAGTCTGGGCGACAGAATGAGACTCCAACTCAAAAAAAAAAAAGAAAAACAATAGGCAGAAGAGGTCTAACAAGTTACTATTGCACAACACATATCAATGGACCTGCAATGCATGTCGGTGAGTGTTTCATGTGTTAGAAAAATATAACAATTTGGCTTTTTGTCATAAATAATTTCCTCAATGTCCAAAACTCCATTATAAGCCAAATATCATTATGATAAAATCACTGGTTCCAATGCTAAAAAAAAAAACCAAAACTTGTGTATTGATATTATGTCTAACAAACATGACTATGAGAAAACAATTATACCATCAGTTTAGCAGGCAATTGTTGTTCTGCTTAACCCCAACAAACAAACAAAACCAACATGCTCCTTGCTACTGAGAAGCTGACAGTTCAAAATCCAACATAATATAATTTAGTTACCAAAGAGGTAGAGCAACATACTTTTACGTATAAGCAATTTCATGTCTAAACCTATAAATACAAATTAACATGATTAAAAATTCTAAATTCTATAGTCCCAGCAACTTGGGAGGCCAAGGTGGGAGGATCATTTAAGCTCAGGAGTTCAAAACCAGCCTGGGCAACATAGTGAGATTGCCTCTTTAAAAAAAATAAAAAGTATACCTGAAAAATCTTCATTTTCTTTTACAGGTAGTTGGGACCATCTCAGTAGTTCTCTTACTAGCTGATCACACAATCCTTGAGCATCATTTAAATTATAGCTATAGAGGTAGCAATATAAAAGGGAAAGATAATAGCGTATCTGAAGAAAACATGTTCTTTGTCCTCCTGAAACAGGAAAAGATTAAGCTTAAGATTAACCTTATAAGCATGTAGGTAAGAAAATGCTCTTAGTCTAGTACTCAGTAGATAAGAGTATGCAGTTTGCAAAAATTCATTAAGGTGTATACTCAAGATACATAAACTTTTCTATATGTTTCATACTTCAATAAAATATTTTTTAAAAAACAAGTGAGGAATAGGTTGCTCTTTTTCGTTTTAAATTATGAACAAACTTACTTGCTTTACTCAGGTCTTAGATTTCATCCAAAGAAAGCTGAAAATGCTCATCATCTCAGGACTAAGGTCTATAAATGAGAATTAAGGTCTATCTCAAGTACATACAGTATGAAACAGAGGGAGCATGCTACAAAAACCCCAAGGAACCATAGTATATCAAAGAGATGGACAAGAGACTTCCTGAAAAAGAAGAAACAGCTATTCAACAAGACAGATGCCCCTGACAACAGTCTTTAAATATCTGAAGGGTGTTTAGGACCAAAACTGCTGGCTGCCTACCTCTTATCCACCTTCTTAAGTAAAAAAATTCCTAGCTGGGCTCGGTGGCTCAGCCTGTAATCCCGCGCCTTTGGGAGGCTGAGATGAGTGGACTGCCTGAGCCCGCGGGTTCAAGACCCGCCTGGGCAACTTGGCGAGACCTCATCTCTACAATAAATCAAAAATTACCCGGGCATGGTAGTGCGCTCCTGTAGTTCCAGCTACTTGGAAGGCTGAGGCGGAAAGATCACTGGGGCCCAGCAGGTTGAGGCTGCGGTGGCCGGGAGCCAACACACACACACACAAAAAAATCCAATTTTATTTATGGTTACAATGAACCCAGATCACAATTTCTCACTAGATGTAGTCATATAAAAATGTGACTAGGCTCTGAACCAAGAGATAATATTGTATAGAATTTCCAAGAAAATTGTTTAAAGAGCAGTAAATCAGCTAGGCGGCAGACCCTTCCTACTTTCCTCCTGTTTGCTGCCTAGAATGTGATTGCTGGAGCTCCAGCTACCATTTTAGCCTATAATGGCCTTAAGTTTGGAAGCAATGCACTAAGAATGATGCAGTAGAAAAACTGAAGGAGC